TCAGTTCAGGAGACAAGCCAGGCACCTCAGCTACGGCTTTTATACACCGCCCTGACAAACAGAAACCAACCTGGAGCATATCAGCACCAGTACCACCACGGGCACATGTTGATGCACCATATATCGAGCCGGCACCCACTGCTGTTCCAGCCCTGGCCCCTAGACACCAAGATGCACCGGCCCAAGAGGCACCAAGTATGCTGGCACCGAGTATGCCGGCACCGGGGGCTTCGCCAATGACCATGTCTGCACCGGGTGTATCAGCACCGGGCGTATCAGCACTGACCACATCAGCACCAGCAGCATCGGTGCCGCAAACCATAACAACTTCAGCACCATCCATAGTGCATACATGCTCAGCGTCAATGTCTTCACGTGAGCATTTACCACCAATAACCAAATCACAATGAAAATCTCAAGGAGTAATCATGCCCTCCCCAAGTCCTGAGGTCGCCACTTTCTCCCCGGAACCGCCATCATCTTCATCGATCCGTTCAATCCACTCAGGTGATGGCCGCAGGTTTACTCTCCCCACCTGCACTATTCCCCGAGACTACAACCAGCCTCACCATGGGAGCACTTCTGACACCGGCATGTATCTTTGTCGCCATGGCATTGGAGGGCCAGGTCTCAATCGCCTGGGTCCCCATTGTTCTCATCGTACTCACAGTACCATCATACTTGTGAAAGAACATATTCCCCGGAATATCGCTCGTCCGACCAAGAGCAACAACAGGGCACATCACCTACCAACCCATCCTCTTCGTCTCCTGATGATGCAGTATTTCCAGGAGATTCATCACCTACGGATGACATCTGTCAGTTTCGGGAGCTATTCAAAAGGGTGGCGGATAGTCAGGAGATACAACTTGCTGAGGTTAATCAGCAGAAACAATACTGGCTGCTTAAAAACCTTCAGCCTTCACAAAAATCTAAGATTGCCCTCCCTCTCGATGAGGCAATCCTAGAGATAGCCGATGATATCTGGCAGATGCCGGTCTCCACGCCTGCAACAAATAAGAGGGCTGACAAAAAATAATTCGTCCTCTCTAAAGGGATGGATTTCCTTTTTACACATCCGAAGCTGAATTCCCTAGTAGTAGACGCTGCTCAACAGAGGGCTAAGGCACCACAATATAAGAATACAATCACTGATAGGGACAATAAACATTTAGACCTATTCAGATGAGAGGTACATTCATCGGCCACATTAGCACTCCACATGTCCAGCTACTCTGCCTTATTGGCAAACCATAATTTTGACAACTATTATGAACATCTGCCGGACACTAAGTGTCAGATACTTAAAGCAGTGGTACAAGAGGGCTACACTGCCTCAAGGACAGTGCTTCAGATTGCGCTCGATATCGCAGACACTGCATCTCAAGCCACACCACCTCAATTGTAATGCAGCAAGCATAATGGCTACAACTAGTGGCAGTACCTAAAGAACTCCACCCGAAGGTCGAGGACTTACCCTTCAACAGGAAAAGCCTCTCTTGCAGACAAGACAGTCCAGGTGTTGCATTCCAGAAAGGATACTACAACCACATTAAGGATTTTAGGCATGTACATGCCCCCGTACCGTCGGAAGTATTGCACTCCTTACCATAGACAAAGTCCTTTCCAATACAGTGCCCCACAGTACAGGCAACAGGAGCATAAACATCCCAGGCAATGCCCACAGAGACAACGCCTACAAAATACTAGACCTGCCATGCAGCCAAACAACCACCAGCAGGTTTGACGTGTCTGTCGAGGGCCTGCATGCCATCCCCATACTCACCCATCAACACTCCACGGGCGAGATTTTTCACCATCGCTTGAGGCCGTTCAGTCATTGATGGAACTCTATCACCACCGACAGATGGGTCCTGGAATTGATAGCGAACGGTTACACCACTCTCTTCGATTCACTTCCTCCACCCTCTCCATCCTCCCTGTCCCTCTTCAGGGACCCTCTCACGAGACTCTCCTACAGAAAGAGGTCTCCCGCCTTCTTACCGTAGGCATGGTAGAGAGAGTACCAGATCAGTTCAAAGCCAGGGTTCGACTCTCGGTATTTTCTGACCCACAAAAAGTCAGGTGGATGGAGGCCGATCTTGGACCTACGGAGGCTCAATCGTTACCTCCGAAAACAAAAATTAAAGATGGTAACACTGGCTACTATTATCCCAGCACTCGACAAAGGGGATTGGTTTGCGTCCCTCAATTTGCAGGATGCCTACTTCCATATAACGATTCACCCGGCGCAGAGGAGCTTCTTTCGGTTTGTAGTAGGCTCCAATAATTTCCAATACAGAGTCCTCCTGTTTACCCTTTCCTCCGCACCCAGAGTCTTCTAAAAAACGCTCACCATAATGGCGGCATATCTCAGATGCAAAGGAATTATAATATTTCCCTACCTCGACGACTGCCTCATCAAGGTGTCTTCCTTCGATGATGCCTGATGGGCCACCAATATAACCACAGACGTATTTCAAGCTCTAGGACTCATTATCAACTTTCAGAAATCAGCAATCATATTGCAGCAGTCTCTAGAGTTTATAGGCGCACACCTAGATTCAGCCACTGCCAGGGCTTACTTGCCCATTGTCAGGTTCCAGACCATCCAAGACCTCGTACAGGTCCTTTCCACAATTCCCAGAACATCCATCCTTACATGTCTAAAACTGATGGGACACATGGTGGCTACCACATACGTAGTGCCCCACGCCAGACTACGGGTACGTCTAGACTACAGGCTTTTGTCAACAGAAGTTTTGTCGACAGATACTGTCAACAAAGCTTCTGTCGACAAAGAGCATCTAGACTACATCCAGTTCTTAAACAACAATTACAACAAGCAGCAGTGTAGACATAGGTATAGTTTTGTCTACAAAAGTCCACTTTTGTCGACAAAACCCTGTAGTCTAAACACACTCTTAATCTATGCCTGTTGCAACATTGGATAGCCACAGTATACATATCTGGCAAGCATGCAGGGCAGCCGTGAGGCTAGGCAAACTAGGCAGTTGCCTAGGGCGCCGCCGGCCCAGGCACCCAATGATGACGTCACGGCCATTGATGACCGTGCAGGCAAGGGCGCCGATTGCACCTTCTGCCTGGGGCGCCAGCTGCCGCAGCTGGCCTTGGGCCACTCCTGCAAGCACGACATACACAAGATGGTGTCTATGCCACACGACATCGTACAGTCACTCAAATGGCAGACTATTCCCAACAACTTGTTAGTGGGGGTTCCCTTCCACAGACCTGAGCCCACCCTACAAAGCACGACCGACGCATCCCTATTAGGATGGTGTGCACACCTAGGGAACCACTACGCCAGAGCAAATGGTCCGCAGCAGAAACCCTCCAACACGTCAGTCTACTAGAACTTCCTTGCCTTCATCGAGGGACGCACGGTAAGAATACTCACCGACAACACCACTGTGGTATTCCATATAAACAGATAGGGGAGCACGATCCCATTCCCTATGCTCGGAAGCAATCCGGCTGTGAAACTGTTGTATACACCACAATGTTTCAGTGACATCCATTTGGCACCCCATTTAATTTGGCACCCTAGGCGACAACCTAGTACACCTATATGGACAGACCGCCCCTGCCTCCCACTCCTCTACTCCCCAGAGTTCTGGAGAAAGTAACCAGGGACAAGGCCACAGTAATACTTGTAGCACCATTCTGGCCGAGACAAACATGGCTCCTATACCTGTTCCAACTATCCCAAGACCCCCCTTTTCACCTTCCCAGCCAGTCCAATCTACTCACTCAGAACCATGGAGTCCTGATACATCCTCAGCCCAATCGCCTGCATCTCACGGCGTGGTTCCTAGTTGGTTCCAACAAGCGGAGATGTTCTGTTCTCAGGAGGTAAAACATGTCCTCATACATAGCAGGCGCTCTTCAACCAGGTCAATTTACCTTCAGAAGTGGCATCGGTTCCATTCGTGGTGCTCAGACAGCAACCTAGACCCGATATCCGCTCCACTACACTGGATTCTATACTTCGCACTCTATCTCAAAACATAGGTCTTGTGCTCTCTTCAATCTCTTCCATTTAGCCAC